TCTTTCATGTTTTTTGCCCTGTCCTTTTCTAGGATGGGAGGCATTCCAGCCCGCAATGCAAAGGGGGAGAGACTTCTTCTGTACATTGGCATTATTGATGTATTGCAGTCCTACAGGTAAGGAACCTTCAGTGACATCTGTGTATCACCCAAGGGTGAAGTCTACAGCATTGTTTGCCCTTGCGTGGGTATAAAGATTGACTTTCAAGAAATAGTTCAGACACAAATAAACACTTTTTATTGACCACTCCCTTTTTTTTTTTTTTTTTTTGATTTGGTTTGACGTTGGCGTTTTGGGATCACTTTGTGGGTCTTGTTTACAGTGTTTACTTCATGTTCCCAGAATGGATTTTTTCTCATAAAGTTCTTTTCTATGCTGTGGTTTTTGCACACAGGTAATGTGCAGGAAGTGGCAAGGAAAAAATAGGTGATGGCTTAAAACAGCTGTAACCACTCCTCCCTGTGAAATGAAAAATAGCTGCAAGACTTCTATTTCTATTAAAATGCAAAAATATGCGAGGTTACATACGGGCAGTTAACTTGCAGTGACTTTACGTGTTCATGATATCCAAGGGGAGAATTTCACAGGCATCTTGCCCTGAAACACTGAAGCTGTGGTTTCATGAGATGTGAGGGGCTGATACAACAGCTGTAAGGGGGTAGGTCTTATTCTGTTCCAACTGTCCTTCTGTGCCTGTGCTTCTCTCCCATCTTATGCGGACTCTATTGCTTTCTGGACCCACCTTTAGGGTCACTTGGTTCACTCACCCAGTAAAGACAGAACGGTTTTTGTTGTTGTTGTTTTTGTTGTTGTTTTTTTTTTTAACTGAATTAGTGAGCTGAGTCAGCTCTCAGAAGGGTACAATGAGGAAAGCTGGTATAAGAGAAGCATGAGACGGTATAGCAGGGGCAGGAAGGCAAAACCACCCACCTTGCGAGAGTGTCCAGGTGTGCCCAGAGATCGATCCAGATGTCTGTGGAACAGTCTTAGAAAAATGGGGTGATTAAGAGAATCTAAAGGCAAAATAATTAGTAGTTTGAGGTGTGTCTGCCACTGGTCAGAAGCCAGGCTCGGTGCTGAGTGAGTATGATATAATGCGGATTATGGAGACCTGGGGTGAAAATTGTTCTTAATCTTCTCCTTTGTCAGATTTATCAAGAAGTTGGAGCACTCTTGGAAAGCTCTTGTACATGACGGGGTAAGTAGGAAAAAGAGACCTTCTACCCTTCAGTAGTAATACCTTTAAACTATTTCCTGTTCTCGGTCCTTCTAGGCATAGGACCCTGGATTTTAAAGGCTTGTCTGTGGTTGCTCCTTTGCATAAAAGGAATACTTTCTAGGTACCCTCAAAAACAGAGGTGTCAATAGTATTGTTCATCTACATTAACAAGTATTTGATTGCTCCAAATAAAATGCATACTTTTGTATCTAACCTGCTTCTCACAGCTACTAGTCACTAGATACAAGAACCTCTGACTGTTCCTACTCCAACACAGCAAGGTTAACAATCTGAAGAAGCTCACATTAACCTTGACCACCTGTTAATTCAGATTTGCACATTAATGTTTATCTCTTGGACTTTCTTAGGACACTGTATCTGTGCACAGACCCAGCTTCTATGCCGAAAGGTTCCAACGGTTCATGTGCAACATAGCGTTCAAGAAAATACCATGTAAGTGCCTCTGTGCAGGTGCACCCCCACAATTGCTGTCATTTCTGCTTCTCCCTGCTTGGCAGCTGTGGTTTGGGAAGATGAATGACAACATGTGAGAGCTTTCGGAAGTCTGTGCTGTGTCACCTCTTGCTTCCTCCCAGTTTGTTCTTGCCACACAGATGTGACCTTACGGGAGCTGTTTCATCAATTAGCATGTTCCTTTAGAGCACAGCCTTTATGTCAGGTTGTCAATGAAAAGTTACTGTATCAGGTCTTTTACTCCTTCTTGAGAGGAGTGTGTTAAAAGTGCTGTCTTGGCTTTTGTCTTTAAGTAAAGCCTTCCCCTTCTAAGAAGAGCCGGTCTGGCACAGCAGTTCCTCGGAGGAGCTGTCAAGGAGGAGCGCCTTCTCTGTCTCACATGTCATGTGAGACAAAAGCACAAGTAACAACAGAGGTGGATGTGGAGCAAGGTTGGTGCCTGAGCTTAAAACAAACAAACAAAAAAAAGAAGCTCTTTTTAAGCTTGTATTTGTCTCATCAAGGCTTGCTGCCTCCTGAACTGGGCAAGACACCTCCCTGTTTTGCAGACTTGCTAGAGGGCCTGTTTTCTGGGATTGTGGGTGTGTGAAAGCAGATGGGGCCAAAAACCTGTTATACACCAAGGTGTGTTTTGAGGGCACTGAGGAGGTCCAGAGGGGCAGTGAGCCCTTCATTTGTGCACCCATTGGTGCATTTTTGGGAGGATCCTTCTAACCTGATTCCTCTGATGTAAGGAGGAGAAAGAACTTTAGGGTGATGGTTTTCCATGTGGCATAATTATCTTGCTGAACTAATTGCCTCAGGAAGCTGCTGAGGCAAAGAAACTGGCAAGATTTAAAAAGAAAAGGGGGGCAGGTGAGAGCTTGACTGTTTCCAAGTATCCTGTGGCATCAAATGCAGGACAGGATGATGAACCTCATGTTTCCATAAAAGCCGGTCTTTGGTCTCATCCTGGTTGTAAGCAGGTACTGCTTCATCTGTCTTCATGGGATCTTTCAGCTTCTTCCAAGCATCCAGTGGCCCCCACTCACATGGGAAACTGGCTGAGACTGTTCGGCAGTCCCTGTGTGCGTGGTCTGTTCCCAGCAGCTCAGGCCTTCGGGGTTTGAGTCAGTGGAGAAGCTGGACTGGATAGTACTGTAGAGGCTTAGATTCAGAACAGAGAACGGAATGTAGAGCTGGTTCTTCTCTTCTATCCTTGGGCATTTTAGATGTCTCAGATGGGATGCAGCACAGATCTTGACCTGTGGCTAGTGTGGGAGTTTGTGCCACATGATCTCACTTGCTGCACCCGATGATGGAACAGTGTATGCTTTAACCCAGGTTCCCACCTTGGTCGTCCAGATCTCCTGCCCAGGATGCTGCCAGTAGATGAAGCTAACAGTGACTCGGTTGCAACGACCCTGTCCACCTCTTCCTTGGGCAGCGGAGGCCTCAACTCGCCCGCGAATAGGTAAGGTTCTCACTGTTCCAGTGCATGGTAGGCCAACAGCTTCTGCAGATTGTGTTCATGAGCCATGGGAGGGCTCTGTGTTGCTTTACAACATGTTTGGGTTTTTGACATGCTTGCAGAAATATCTATTTGAGTGGCCTTTTGTGTTGAGCAAGTTCAGTCCTGTCAGCTTAAGCATGTGCAAGGGGGGAGCGTTGTGTCACCATGCAGTCCTTTACAGACTACGTGATCTTGCATCTTCTACTTGGGCTGTGTGGGGGGTCCCAGTGGCTTTTGGTTCTTTGTTTTATATTTAATGCTTTTGTTCTGGACTTGTTTTAATTAGCACAAATTCTTTGAGTTAGTGAAAGTGTTGCTGTCAAAATGTATGTAAGAGCACTGATGTGTTGGATGATCCTGAAAGTGACCTGCTTGCTGCTCCTCTCGGAGGGTTGGGCTCTCTTGCACCTTATTGATTTCATAAGTGAGGAGCTCCTACAACTCCTTGGGAAAGGAGGCTGCGGGGATGCGTCCAGGTGCAGTTCAAAATGTCTCAGACAAGAGCATGGAGAGCTGTGAGGGAGCTGATGTTTTGAATGTTTCATTTGTTGTCAGAGGGATAAGACTAGCAGGTATGAGGAGGAGCTATGGTCAGAGGACAGTCCCTTTCACAGAAGCTGTTCTGAGTTGTTAACTTCTCTTCCTAGAAGTGATTGGAAACAGTTTTCCTCACTCCTCACCCATTTCCTGCAGAATGTCACTGATTGAAGTGTCTGCTCTGCCTAAGCTGCAGGAAAACAAGATACAATTATAGTTAACACCTTTTACTTCCCCTCTAAAACCTAGAAACTTCTTGGTAGGGATCCTAAACCAGAGCTGCTCCTTTCCAGTACGTCAGCATGCCTGAGGCTTTCTTTCTATTTGCTTAACTGCGGGTCTCTCTCCTTCAATCTCTACATAGGTCAGTGGGCGTACAAGTGCATAACGCTGACAGCTCAGCAAAGGATTTGCCTAGAACAGCTCCCGGCATCTTCTTGCCTAGGTGAGGGGAGGAACCAGACTCTGCCTGAAACCTTCTCCTGTCTAGAGGGTGTTTTCAGTGAGACTTATCCTGAGACTTGACCTTGTGCTTGTTGCTGGCTGGTGGTTACAGAGTTCTTGTACAGTCAGTTTGCTCCCAAAATGCAGTACTCTAACACAGTGGGCCCCATGCCAAGACTTAGCAATCCTTAGCATGTTTGCTTGCTGTATGGTAAAATGATTGAAGATTAAAACCTTTCAAGATGAGGTGTCCTCCTTATATGACATGGTGCTGAGCATCCTTTTCTGCTCAGGTATGTAAGATTAAACCTGCCTGCTCCACTGAGTTGACTCCTGAGGTTGGTTCCCCAGATGCAAAGCCTGCTGTGTTTTCCTCCGGAGGCAGCGTGCTACCCACAGAGGGGAGGACAACGCTTACCATACCCTGCAGGAACTCGAGTGTGTTGTTACTCTTTGCCGACATCCCATAAAAACAAGTGCCAGCAGGCTGTGGCACTGAAATTGAGGACACTGAACAGGCCATTGCTTTCTCAAATGGAGTCTTTAGGGCCCTTGGACTCTGAGCTGCCAAAAGCAAACCTGTTGTCAGAGGCTTAAATCCACTTTTGCGGCCCTGAAAGATATGTAGAGCTCTACAAACCCAGCAAAGGATGAAAGCAGTTTGTAGATTACTGGTTTTTAACATCATAACTTGTTGAATGATTTTAAACATAAATTTTTTTCCTCTCTACAGAATTAGCCTTTCTAGCGGGTTATTTACCACCCTTTGGGAAAGAAAACCTGTTAAATCTGTGTAGCCCTGTACAAGGAGGAGCGATCTCACTTGAAATCTCTCCAGCCGGAGCAACTCTTGACTCCTGCTCTTGTAGGAGGATGGGTGTGGGGGCTGGACAGGATTTGGCCTGCTCCAGGCCTGCCTTTGAAACATGAGCTCAGCCTTTTCTTTTTTGTGCTACAACAACCTCAGCCTGTGCTTTGCAGCACAACCCCATTTCCTCAGAAACATTGCCATGCGCCTGTTTGCTGCGTGCTGAAGATGTGCTCTTACTGGTGGTGTAAGCGATACCGTGCAGGTGCCCTCGCAAGGTGGACAGCCAAGCCCTGCTGTTTAGCACTGACAGAGCTGGCTCTCCCTGTCCTGTCACCCAGGTAGGGAGTTACTTGGCCCAATTTAGTGACTGATCCAGCATGGCAAATCTCAGAGGTCTGATCGCTTCTTAGTGGCAGTAGAGCCTAAGGCTATAGAGGTGGGTGTGATGCTGAACAAGTGAGGAAGACTTCCCTCTGTATGCAAGACTCCGATAATAGCCTGTCCTTGTCATGGGAAGGACAGAACAGTTGGGATTCCCCTGGTTTGCAGACCAGCTCTGTCATTAACCTCACTGGCAGAAGTGTGCTGGTGTTTGAGATGCTTAGACATCACCATGTGCCACTGGGAAGGTAAGTTTGTAGCCCTATGTGCTGCCCAGCATCCTGGGGCAAGGAGTTCCAGAGATTGATCTCTGTTTTAGAGGGGCATTTATTTTTCTCTTAAGCATTATACCTGATCACCCGGCCCTGCGTTAGGACGCTGCTGCTTAACATTAAGCCAAGCTTTGAGAGGAATTCTTGTACTGTAACCAGCACTGAGCATCCTTGCCTTTAATTTCTGCATAGGTGAGAATCAGGGAGTTACCAGTCAGAAAAATCTACAGAAGATGTAGCCAGAGCAGCTGAGAGTAACCAGGCAAATAGGTGAGGCTTAATCTAGGCAGAGGGATGGAGTTTTGTGCCCTTGATGAGGACACGCATGTCTCCATTTGGGTGAAAGAGATGCTGTTGGTCCAAGGGTCTCTGTGCGGAGTGCTGTGTAACCTCATGACTGAACAGCCTGATGCCTTCTGCATGCTGGCGACAGGAGATTGAGTACTACCAATTAAACAGAATCACAGAACGGCTGAGGTTGGAAGGTATCTCTGGAGATCATCTAGTTCAACTCCTCTGTTCAAGCAGGGTCATCTAGAACGTGTTGCACAGGATTGCGTCCGGGTGGGTTTTGAATATCTCCAGAGAAGGAGACTTTGCAACTTCTCAGGGCAACCTGTTCCAGTGCTCTGTCACCCTTGCAGTAAAGAAGCTTTTTCTCGTGTTCAGATGGAACTTCCTGTGTTTCAGTTTGTGCCCGTTGCCTCTTGTCCTGTTGCTGGGCACCACGGAGAAGAGTCTGGCCCCAAACCACTTCCAGCAGGCTGTGACAAGCCCTGGGTGTTAGCTGCAGGTGGGCCGAGTGCCCTCAAAGAGGGGCATGCATCTGTAGGCAGTCATAAAACTTCTGATTAGTCATCAGTGCAATGGAGAGGGATTGGATACTTTGTGCCTGGACTGTTTTCACCTGGGACCTTTTTCATGTTAATGTATTTGAAGACTTCTGTAAAGAGGTGTTGCTTCTTAGCTGGACGAAAGGTGCTTGTTCCTAATGTTTACTAGTTTTCTAGATATTGTTTTAGAAGCCTGGGCCAGTAGGGATAACGTTGCCTGTGACCCTGTAATAAATCTGCCTAACAAAAGTCTTTGTGCAGTGCTTGAATGTTCCAGTTTGCTGGGTACAGCAGGGTAGCCAAGAAGTGTGACTTATTGATGGCTCATTTTAAAAACTGCTTTACAGGTCTCCCCCTTCTGTTTCCCCAGTGGCTCCCCAGGGCCTTCCATACCAGAGTGCTCCTCAGAACTGAGAGAACAGTTTGAAGATCTGCAAGAGACAGAGATAAGCTTTGTGAGTACTTCCCTTTTAGGGAGGAAATGAGCAGCTCTCTAGGTGGATGGATGATTACAAGGGTTACTTTGGCTTCTTGTTCTGCTGTTCCCCACAGGTGCTTAGTGAGATCTGCTGCCCTCAAAAGCCTTAAATTAAATAAGTTGAGAGGCAAAGCGGAGGCAGTTCGCTTTCCTGAGGTCCCAGAGCGGGTCTGATGGCAGAGATAAAACTGGGTGAATCTGACCAAACTCATCTTGCTGTCCCAGTGGAGAATGATTAAATACTCACAGACCCACCTGTTTTAATATAAGGGCATGGTTCCGAAAAGGGTACAAAAGCCTGAACACAACTGAACTCAACAGCTCCCTTCACTTTGCCTCTCCTAGGGTGGGGAAGGCAAAGGAGATCTCATGCTGCCCTTCCTCAGAGGAAGGCAGACTCCTCTCCAGCGTCTCCCCTCTTTTCTCTTCACAGTGAAGCAACACCGAGATGATTGCGATGGAAGCCAATTGTTCTGTGCTCTGCGTGATCTGTGGAGTCTGACAAACGTTCAGCCCTTGTTGCTGATCTATTTTATTTTTTTAGAAATCTTATCTGGACAGAAACCTAGAAGCTGGAAGGCTGGGCTACACTGAGTGGGATAGTATTAACAAAGACCAAGTCAGCACAGCTGAGCCTTGGATGCCTTGGAAGTCTCCTTATAGCAGAGCCCTCAAGGTTTGACTGTGTATCTGTGCTGTCCTCCTTTCTCTGAAGCCTGGCGGGAGCGGAGCAGGTTGTCAGGAGGAGGAGGAAATTCTCTGCATGGGCTCAAGACCTCTGGAAAAGGGATTGATCTGACTTTCAGGGAATTAGCTGCTTATGATGCCAACATCACAAACCTGGCAAGAACGGGCAACTCGTCAGAGTACTGGGGGGAAACAGGTGTTAAAGCCTTGTTGGGGCAGTTTGTGACAGAGCAATGTGGTTTTATTTTGTATTTTAAAACAATTTTTCAATTTAAATGTTCCTTTGAATTCAGTCATATCAACTTTTTTTTTAGTCCTGCAATATAGTCACTTTTTTTTATAAATAGGCTTCTCAGTGTTCCACTAAAAAAAGTATCCCATGTGAGAGAGGCAGAAAGGGGGAGTGGAAGCTGTGAGTGTGTGTGTTTCCCCCCTGCTCCCCACCAGCCATTCTTGGTTGCAGGATTCTCAACCTTGCATCATCCTGAGACAGTGACATGGAGAGCTAGGCACTTCATTGCAATGTGTTGCTCAGAGGACTTTGAATGTGCAAAAGCTTTTAAGATGTCAGGGAGGTTTTGGATTGCTCTGTCCCCTGTTTTTTTTTTTTAAGCTCACCTTTACCTGTTCCCTTCCCCACAAAGCAAGGAGTAACATGAAGGGAGATCTTTGTAACGGGCACACTTTTTTTTAAGCCTTCAGTATTTCTTAAGCAAATGGACCAAACCTAGCCTGCTCAGCTCCCTTCCACTGCCCTCCACCCTGCTGTTACGTCCTTTTGTGGGCACCACTTGCAAAAACCTCACAGTTTTTATAGCTTGGCTCCCTTTTGATAACTCCACTTGTATCTTAGCCAGCGTTGTGGAGCCATGATTGACACCAGTGTTCTCAATGGCTTGAAATTGAGATTCCTACATAACTGGCTGCTGGTTCTGTGTGTTGTGACAGACTTTTGCCTCTGCAAAAGTATGGTGCACCTTGAGCCTGAGGATGCTGAGGGCTCCTGTCTAATTAAAAAAAAAAAAAAAAAAAAAAAACAAACACAAAAAAAACACTGAAAGGAGGCATTGTTCTGTTGTTTGCACAGAAGGCTGGGGTGATGCCTTGCAGACACTTATCTAGAGATCTCAGAGCAAATGTTGGCCTGATCTTTATTTTCGCTAAATGCTTTTTTTAAGAAATGAAGTGACTCTTCCCCATGTTCCCAGTGGGTTAGAATCTTCCATCCTCTTTTTTATATATATATATATATATATAAAAATTTTTTTTAAAGTTTGCCCTTGCAGTAGTGCAAGGGGTTTCTATACTAATTAGCAATGATTGCTAAGGAAACAGAATGTAGTGGTGTAGAAGGGGATTTTTTTTTTTTTTTTGTTCATGTTTCAGAGCCAAGTCTCTTCCCACCTCCTACTTTAAGCTTTTAAAGTGGATGTGACAAGCGTGGTTTGTTTGTTTGTTTGTTTTTGAAAGACCAAGTGGAATGGCCTTACTCCCGGTGTCCGGATCCAAAGGAGTTTGGAGTGAGAGAATAATCTCTGAGTAATCGGCCATCTAGTTCTCAAGGGCTCTAAAACCTTTAAACACCAATTAACATCACAAGACCTGTGATTGGAAGGAAGATCAGTTCTGGAGGACTAGAAACTGGAAATGTCTCTGGTGGATCTTCCTTCTCCCTCCCCTTTACCTCTGACTCTATCCAGCAGGTTACACTTTATAGCTGAAGTAACTGTCTATATTAGACACTGTTTCTTATCTTCCCTCCTAACTCATATTTTTTGTTTTTTGTTTTTTTTAACCAGGAGGAAAGAAAACCAAGTCTCATTTTTTTTCATGATTTACTATTTATGAAGTTGTATTTAAATGTTTTATTCTGGGGATAGTTATTCAGTGAGTAGGGAAATAGGGGGGGGGCAGGGGGTGGCATTTATATATCAGAACTATCGACCTCTGCTTTATAATGGTTTTTCAAAACGATTTTTTTTTTTGCGTTTAAAAGTGGCAGGCAACTGGTTTTAATGTCTTTTTAAAAACTCAAGTGGCTTTTCTCCATCGCGGGGGGGCTTCAGTTCTCTTACCGACGGCTTGGCGAGTCAGGGTGAGTCAGCTAGGAGCAGGGAGCAGCCAAAATGTCATGCCTGCCTCCTGGATGCGACGATCTCCTGCTGCAGCCCCTACCACCTCCAGACAGAAATGCTGGGTGAAGGGATAGAGAGCCAAGGGCGGATAGACTTTTTTTTTTTTTTTTTTTTCCCCCCCCGCCCCGTTCTTCATCCCCACACTGATGTCTCTCTTTGAGAAAACAAAAAACCCTACACAGCCATTACAATCATTACATTTAATGAAGTCACCCTCCCTTCTCCTCTAGACTTGGGGATACAATTTGAAACACCAAAAGGAAGAAACTGAAACAAACTTTAAAACCTGTTAAAAGGGATTTGGAAAAAAAAAAAAAAAAAACAAAAAAAACCCCACTGTCTCTTCTCAGCCTATCTTGCACAGAGATGCAATATACAGTATGCTACTAAACCCATAAAAGTGTCCAGGCTTGGTTTTTCTGCAGATGGTGGGAGGGAGAAAGGGGGCTCGTCCGCTTAGCTTCTGGTTGATGGAGGAGGTTGGGTGGAGGGTGAAAGCTGAAATAGAGAAAGACATGGATTTTTCTGCTCCTTTGTGCCAAAGGGGTTATTTCCTGCCTGTAACTAGAGATGGTAGAACGGTCCTGTTTTCCACAGAGTGCTGGGGGGGAGGGGGGGTGGAAAGTTGGATCTGGGCCAGGAGGTTCTCTGTGCCCTGGATGGAGGTCCCAGCCCTGGGTGAGTACCAGGATGGTCCTGGAGGGTCTCCAAGCCTGGAACGTGCACATGTTCAGTGCGACTTGGGGTCGTTCTCATCCCCGGGGAGCCCCCCAGCTGCCCCGGGGTTTATTTGCCACCGGGGAGTAGGACTCCAGCTTCCCCCCGCCCCCAGCTCCTTTCTGTCCCCACGCCCTTCTCTAAGCCGTCCAGGACTACAACTCCCGGCGCACCCTGCGACCGTGCCCCGCCTCTGAAGATAGGCGGCGGGGATTGGCCGGGAGCCTC